CTTTTTCCGGGACCTCCTCTTTAAAATTTTTGTATGGATCCTGCCTTTCCCTTTCTCTCTTTCCCCAAAAATATTCCAAATTCCTGGGCTATTGTGGCTGAAAAAAATACGGCCTAATTTCCCCGTGATTCATCTGGGGTTTTTTAGCTTCCCAAATTTGTCCCCTTGTTGCTGTGTCCCCGGGCTCCCGGAAAATTCCCGTCTTTGTCCACCTTGTCAATTCCTCTCAGTATTTTGTTTAAGGGGTTTTTATCATCCCCCCCATCTCTCCTGTCCTTTCCCGTGTCGTAGGTTTTTTTCCCTTAACCTTCCCCGTAGGACAAAAACCCCTTAGCTCTGGGACTAGTCTTGTGGCAAACCCTTTTCCCCTTTCCCCTAGTTTTTTTACGCTTTGGGTAGGTTTTGGGGTCCAAAAAAGGTTGCCGCAACTCCAATATGGGGGTAACGTAAAACGGTGTACAGGGTCCTGAACGACTCCTTAATAAGATGTCCCGGGAAAGCTGTTTTTGAGGTTTTTCCAGGGGCCCATTTCTGGGAGCAGTTATTTGGTTGATGGCGCTTTCCCGAATATGTCCTGGGGTTTTTACTACCCCCAAAATTTTTTCCTTTGGGGAGGTTTTTAGTCTCTGGGGGCCCCCTAGACTGTACTTTCCCTCTTTCGGCCCTTTTTTGCCCTTCCCCAAACTTTATGACCCTTTTAAATTGGGGGATTTTAAATCCAAAGGGGCCAATTGCTGGACCCTTCTGCAGCCTGTCCAATCCCTTTGTAGTTCTGCCTGGTCTTCGATCGAAAGAAAATTCTTTTTTCAAACTTCACGTCATCTGCAAACAGGGACACCTCAGAGTTTATTCCTTCTGTCATGTCGTTCACAAATACTAGAAACAGCACTGATCCTAGGACTGACCCCTGTGGGACCCCGCTGGTCACAGGTGCCCACTCTGACACCTCGCCACGTACCATTACTCGTTGCTGTCTTCCTGACAAATATTCCCTGCTCCATTGTAGTGCCTTCCCTGTTATCCCTGCTTGGTCATCCAGTTTTTGCACTAATCTCTTGTGTGGTACTGTGTCAAACTGCCTTCTTGCAGTCCAAGAAAATGCAATCCACCCACCCCTCTCTCTCTTGTCTTACTGTTGTCACCTTGTCATAGAACTCCAGTAGGTTTGTGGCACAGGATTTCCCGTCCCTGAAACCATGTTGGCTGCTGTTGATGAGATCATTCCTTTCTAGGTGTTCCACCACTCTTCTGACAATCTTCTCCATGACTTTGCATACTATACATGTCAGTGACACTGGTCTGTAGTTTAGTGTTTCATGTCTGTCTCCTTTTTTAAAGATTGGGACTACATTTGCTGTCTTCCATGCCTCAGGCAATCTCCCTGTTTCGATAGATGTATTGAATATTGTTGTTAGGGGTACACATAGCTCCTCTGCTCCCTCTCTCAGGACCCATGGAGAGATGTTATCTGGCCCCATTGTCTTTGAGGTATCTAGCTCACTCAGAAGCCTCTTCACTTCTTCCTCGGTTGTGTGTACCGTGTCCAGCACCTGGTGATGTGCCCACTCTCCGTCCCTCTGGAGCCCCTTCTGTCTCCTCTGTGAACACTTCTTTGAATCTCTTGTTGAGTTCCTCACATACTCATGGTCATTTCTTATTGTCTCTCCTCCTTCCTTCCTTAGCTTGATTACCTGGTCCTTGACTGTTGTTTTCCTCCTGATGTGGCTGTATAAGAGCTTCGGGTCAGATTTGGCTTTCGCTGCTATGTCGTTTTCATATTGTGTTGGGCCTCCTTCTTATCTGTGCATATTCGTTTCTGCTCTACGACTGCTCTCCTTTTTCTCGGGGGCCTTTGCCTTCTTTATTTTTTCCATTCCCTAGCACACTTGGTTTTTCCCCCTTGGGACCCTTTTTTGGTTTACCATGGGCTCAAACCGGTTTTTCTTTTTTCCTGGTTTCCCCTTGGGGGACAAAACCCCTCCTCAGCCTCCGCACATTGTTTTCTAATATTCCATCATCTATTTAATGGCTTCCCCCCAGTTTTTCTGTCCCCCTGAAAACCCCGTTCGGGGGTTCCTCTTTTTTTTTGTAGTCCCTTTCCTGTAGTTTGGTTTCCCTTTGTTTCCCGGCCTTCCTGCTTCCCCTTCCCTTTTAAGCTCTATGTGTTTAAAAAGCTCAAAACCCATTTATCGCTGGCTGCCTGCAGGCAGGCAGGAGGCAGGGAGGCAGGCGGGAGGAAAGGGAGGCAGGCAGGCAAAGGGAGGCAGGCAGCAGGCAGGGGAGGGAGGCAGGGCAGGCAGGAGAGGGAGGCGAGGGAGGAGGGCAGGAAGGCAGCAGGCAGGAGGCAGGCAAGGAGGGGGCAGGCAGGCAGGGGGGGGGAGGCAGGCTTGGGGGGAGGCCCGGCAGAGGGGGCAGGCAGGGGAGAGGGGGGCAGGCAGAGGCAAAAGGGGAGGCAGGAGGAAAGGAGGCCAGGCAGGCAAGGGGCAGGGGAGAGGGGGGCCCGGCGAGGAGGCAGGCAGGCATGCAGAGGCAGGCAGGCAGAGGGAGGCAGGCAGGGCAGAGGGGGGGCAGGCAAAGGGCCCGGCAGGGCAGGCAGAAAGGGAGCAGGCAAAGGGAGGCAGGCAGGCCCGAGGGTGGCAGGCAGGGCAGGCAGGCAGGCGGCCCGGAGGAGGCAGGGAGGGCAGGGGCAAAGGGGGGGGAGGCAGAGGGAGAGGCAGGGGGCCCCAAAAGGAGGCAGGCAGGCAGAGGGGCAAGGGGAGAGGGAGGCAGGCAGAGGGGAGGCAGGCAGAGGGAGGGGAGGGGGAGGGAGGCAGGGAGGCAAAGGAGGGGAGGGGGCAGGCTGCAGGCAGGCAGGAGGGAGGAGGCAGAGGGAGGCAGGCAGAGGCAAGGGAGGCAGGCAGGCAGGGAGAGGGGGCGGCAGAGGCAGGAAAGGGAGGCAGGAAAGGGAGGGCAAAGGGGGGGGGGGGGAGGCAGGCAGAGGGGGGGCAGGGGAGGCAAAGGGGGGGGGGCAAAGGGAGGGGAGGCAGAGGGAGGAAAGGGGAAAGGGAGGCAGGGGAGGCAAGGGAGGGCAGGCAGGCCGGCAAGGGAGGAGGCGGGGGGGCAGGGAGAGGCAGGCAGGCAAAGGGGGGGGCGAGGGAGGCAGGCGGGGGGGCAGGCAGAGGCAGGGGGAGGCAGGCAGAAAGGGGGAGGCAGGCAGAGGCAGGCAGGCAAAGGGAGGGCAAGGGGGGCAAGGGGAGGAGGACCCGGCAGGCAGGCAGGCAGGAGGGGGGGACAGAAGGGGGGCAAGGGCCTTGGCCCGGAAAGGGAGGAGAGGGAGGGGCAGGCACGGGGAGGGGAGGGGAGAGGGGAGGCGGCCGGGGGGAAATGAGGGCCCGGGGAGGGGAGGCAAGGGGGCCCGGCAGGGGGCAGGCAAAGGGAGGCAGGGGAGGCAAAGGGAGGAAGGGGAGGCAGGCAGGCAGAGGAGGAGGCAGAGGCAGGCAGGGAGGGAGAGGGAGGCAGGGGCAGAGGCAGGACCCGGCAGGGGGGGGGAGGGAGGCAGGAAGGGAGGCAGAAGGGGGGGGCAGGCAGGCAAAGGGAGAGGAAGGCAGGCAGGGAGGGCAGGGGAGGAAGGAGGCAGGCAGCAGGAGAGGCAGGGAGGCAAAGGAAAGGGAGGGGAGGCAGGAGAAGGCAGGCAGACAGGCAGGCAGGCAGAGGGAGGGGGGAGGGCAGGCAGGCAGGCAGGCAGGGAGGGGGCTTGGCCAAAAGGGGGGGCAGAGGGGAGGCGGAGGCGGGGAGGGGGAAAGGCCCCCCGGCAGAGGCAGAAAGGGAGGAGGCAGGCAAGGGGGGGGAGGCAAAGGGAGGCAGGCAGGCAAGGGAGGAGGCAGGGGGGCAGGCAGGAAGGGGGAGGCAAAGGGGGGGGAGGCGGCAGGCAGGCAGGGGGGGCAGGCAGGCAGGAGGGGGAGGGCTGGCAGGGGGGGGCAAGGGAGGAGGCAGGGGGGAGGCACAAGGGGGGGCAAGGGAGGCAGGCAGGAGGGGAGGCAGGCAAAGGGAGAGGGAGGGGCAAGGGGGGGCAGGCAAAGGGAGGCAGGCAGGAGAGGCAGGCAGGGGGGAAAAGGGAGGCAGGAAAGGCGGCAGGCAGGAGGAGGGGAGGCAGGGGGGGCAGGGGGAGAGGGGGCAGGCCCGAGGGGAGGCAGGCAGGGGAGGCAGGAGGGAGGCAGGACAAAAGGCAGGCAGGGGGCCCGGGAGGAGGGAGGAAAAGGGAGGCAGGCAGAGGCGGCAGGCAGGCAGGGGGCAGGGAGGCAGAGGCAGGCAGGCAGGCTGGGGAGGGAGAGGGGACCCGAGGGGGGGCAGGCAGGAGGCAGGGCAGGCAGGCAGGGAGGGGGGGGCAGGAAAGGGAGGGGCAAAGGGGAAAGGGAGGCAAGGGGGAGGAGGAGGCAGGAGGCAAAGGGAGGGGGAGGAGGCAGAAGGCAGGCAGGGGAAAGGGAGGCAGGCAGGCAGGCAGGCAGGCAGAGGGAGGCAGGCCAGGCAAGGCAGCGGGCAGGCAGGCAGGCAGGGGGAAAGGCAGGCAGGGAGGCAGGCAGGGGGAGGCAGGCAGGCAGGCAGGCAGGAGGGCAGGCAGGCAGAGCATGCAGGCAGGGCGGGGGCAGGAAGCAGAGGCAGGCAAGGCAGGCAGGCAGAGGGAGGCAGGCAGAGGCAGGCAGGCAGGCAGAGGCAGGCAGGCAGAGGCAGGCAGGCAGGCAGGCAGAGGGAGGCAGGCAGAGGCAGGCAGGCAGGAGGGCAGGCAGCAGGCAGGCAGGAGGCAGAGCAGGCAGAGAGCAGGCAGGCAGGCAGGCAGGAAAGGCAGCAGGCAGGCAGGCAGAGGCAGGCAGAGGCAGGAAAGAGGCAAGGCAGGCAGGCAGGCAGGCAGGCAGCAGAGGGAGGCAGGCAGAGGCAGGCAGGCAGGCAGGCAGGCAGGGGGAGGCAGGCAGAGGCAGGCAGGCAGAGGCAGGCATCCAGGCAGGGGGAGGCAGGCTGGCAGTGGGAGGCAGATGCGCCTGCGTGAAGACGCCCGGGGGGGAGGGGTGAAAGTGATGACTAGTGAAGCCTCAGTCACCAGTGAACCATTGTCAGTGACTGTGTTAGAGTCCCTCGTCTCAACACTCTCTAGTTATAGTGTCCTGGTATATCACAAGCAGGTGTGTACGTGGGTTACCTTCACCAGGACGTAATTAAACGTACAATGTACATCGTACTCTCCTCAAGCACAATTTATTTTTTAATATAGGGATTTCGTATATTTCTCTGACCAGTAAAGCTGTTACAAAACTTAATGTCCTAAATATCAGAGATCATGCACACTGTCTCAACTCAAATTGAACTCCTATCCCCTAAAAAGTTTCTCAGATTTTTTTACGACACTTGTAGGTTTAGCGCTTCATTATAATAATTAATTTGTTAACCGAATAGCCTAATACACTAACTTTAACACCTAACATACAAACTGCTGCTTAAGGTTAGGCTTAGTTAACGTAAATTAACCTAATTATAATAGAAATTAAAAAAATTGGGAGTTTATTCTGAGAATGCAACCAAAAAAAAAAGTGGGGTGCCTTGATGCTGGTGTAGGGCTATTGATTCAGGAATAAGTAAGTTTATTCAGGTATACACAAATACAGTTACATAGAATTATCATACATAGCAGCATATGGTGACCACCGCTAGCACGATAACTGCTCACACTCCCGTAAACTTTTAAGGAATTTTTTCCGTTTTTTTTTCTAGTATTATTCTTTGTAATATGATAATTGACGATTTGGCATCATATGAGTTGGGGGAGCTAAAACGTAGACTTGCAGCCAATCAGGAACCGTCTGGGAACATTAGATTACATTACCGGAATTCCCGCTCTTGGGAGGCAAGTTTAATCAGGTATACACAAATACAGTTACATAGATTATCATACATAGCAGCATATGTGTAGAGAACCTAGGATAAACCATACCACGGGTGGGGATAGAACCCGCGATCAGAGAAGTCAGATAGACTTATTTCCATTGGGGCAGGAGAAAATACTTTCAGTATCACGCTAATATCAACTCTATGGCTTATTTATCTATCACAATTTATCTAATATTACATAAATAACATAGAAACATGTTATATACTCTAGGATGAATAAAATAGGTCATAATATGAAGAGTTCCACCAGCAATATCGCATATAAAATTATTTCCCCTCCTGCCTATACCATATTCTTTGGTCTTGGGTGAGAGAAAACGGAGTTTTAGTGCGGCAAACTGCACTAGATCACTAGTTTCATAAGGAAAACGTTGATACAACAGTGATTTTCTCGGAAAAAACAACAACAGTTTCCCTAGGCGGGAGGCTGTCTGGCGTTCCAGGCGATTATCTCGGAAGTAAATTGGCTTATTTCATGAAGCTCAATCTTAAAATAATGAATCCTGTGATACTCCAATACTGAAACTATGTACTGTGTCAAAACAAAAGCATTTACATTGCTAAACTCACAAACTAGTATTTAGTCACTTAGCCATAATACCAACTTACCTCATAATTTGTGATATTTTACAATTAAGAATAAAACTAAGTCTGCCCGAAATGCCTAGCCATGCTAAGCGTTCTAGTGGTACACTCTGTAATCACCATTTTACTACATGTAAACCACACAATAACCAAATTTCTGTAAACTCAGCATTGTAATCCTTATAGAGAATAAACTTTGAATTTGAATTTGAACTGAATGAAATAATTTATTAACAATAATCATAACTCAGTTATTGTTCTTAATTGTAACGAACTGTGCATAATTTTATTCCAGATATTTTGGGGTTTGTATGGGAGTAAAGGGCAAGGTATTTTGCAACATGTCAAACACTTAGCAACTTTATTTTTTTGTAGAATAAAGATAAGATATTTACAGGGGCTGAGTTTGCATTACGATTGTTTTATGAATATTGTTGTTAGGGGTACACATAGCTCCTCTGCTCCCTCTCTCAGGACCCATGGAGAGATGTTATCTGGCCCCATTGCCTTTGAGGTACCTAGCTCACTCAGAAGCCTCTTCACTTCTTCCTCGGTTGTGTGTACCGTGTCCAGCACTTGGTGGTGTGCCCCACCTCTCCGTCCCTCTGGAGCCCCTTCTGTCCCAAAACCACCTTTCGTAGTGCCATTAATTAGGGGGTTCGTGCCAAATGTAATTTTTAATAAATATTTTTTTATTTTTTTGGGGGGGGGTTATCTTAGTGAAACTTATAGAAAACAAGGAGAGTGAACACTTCTCGTACACCTAAACTTTAAGAAATCGGACGAGAGGAAAAAATGGAGGTCCTAATTGGTAATGCCTCCCCTTGAAGCTGGTGAAGGACTCTTGATCCAAAGAATTGGAGCTACCTTCCCCTTCCTTAGATCAAACTAAATGTGTTCACCCCATGACTATATCAGTAATAATAATCGCATGTACCGAGGTAGGCAGCCCCTGCGGTCAGGGGCCATGGCCAGGCTTTCACATATTCTTTGAAAATGAACTATTTTACACTGAAAATTTCATTTAAACATATCTGCTCATTTTATAAACGAAACGTAACACGTACACACTTATCACGTCTCTGTGGCAGGTATTGTGAGTGAAGCAGTGAGGATGCTGGAGCTGGTGACGGACGTGCTACAGTCAGTGTGGCCGCAGGAGTGGGTAGGACGCTGCAGGACCCTCCTCGTCACCTTGAGTGTAGTTTATATCACCAAGAAGATCCTCAAGCACAACAGGAAGAGAAAACTAAGGTAATCCAAGAACACAAACCACATGTAATCTCTGTTCTAGCTCAGGGACACCACCAACAGCCTGACAAAGGCAGAGATTATAGCGGATAAATGATCGAACCTCCCCGAACCTCTTTCAGTTAACTAAGACATTTTCTGCCTATCTAGAGTATATGATAAATTTGCGTAAAATCAAGTTGTTTATTATATATTACGAAAATTATGAAAGGGCCCACAGAAATACTTATCTATTAGAATTTTATGTCAGGCAGAAGTGGTTGAATGCAGGGAAGGATGTGGTGGTCCTCCATCAGTTCAGCTCGGGAAAATACTGCCCAAACCTCAGCCCTTTCGTACTCAAGCTCGAGTCCTTCCTCAGGTTGTCCAACATCAAGTATGTAGTAAGTACTGCCTGCCAGAGTACTACCATGCGGTGAATACTACCATGTGATTTTAGATTTAATTTTGCACAATAAAGTAGCCGAAGCGGCTACTTCATCAACAGCGCAACCCATATCCATACAGTGGACGGTAGAGCAAGAGTATATGGATAAAAAGGCCTAGGAACAAGGCCCCTAAAGAGTTAACAGAAGCACATTTGGACTTGTATCCACAGTCTACTTGATCTGTTTCAAGGAAATTTTGGATATTTGCTTAATCTGTCTAGTATCTTATTTTCGTTAATAAGATACCTTGACATATTATATAAGTTGTTATACTGTGTATCTCTTTATTCCTCAATTAGTTAAGCACATTGTGTTCAGAGTAGTGACATATGGCTGGCCACATGCTTTTCATTTAGTGATTATCATCTGTGCGTCTGCCAGACTGCCACAAGTACTTGTGACCATGCCTAAGTCTGGCTACTATAACATCAGTCTGTTTACATTGCATGTAGCTACTTTAACGTACTGATCTACGTTCATGTTACAGTGAGTGATAGATTTAATCAGGCTTCTAACTGTATTCTTACGACATTCAGTTTCATTGTATATTTAATAATAATATAATTATTTCTACAAGTTTATGTACAAGTTATACAGGCCTAGCTGATATCAGTGACATACTACTGTATAGAAAGCCTCTTGTTATGCAGAGCATTTCGGGCAGATTAAGTCAATTTTGTCCCAAGATGCGACCCACACCAGTCGACTAACACCCAGGTACCCATTTTGCTGATGGGTGAACATGGACAACAGGTGTAAGGATTTTAGGGGCCTAAGGGATTACCTATGTAGTGTAGACAGGGATAACTTGACTAGACAGATTAGGTAAGATTTGTCAGGAAACAAGACAAGTGTTTCCTGACGCAGGTCTTGGATAATGACCCACCGCTGGAGCTTTTGGTCATTGACCGAAGCCTTTCAGTGGCTTACCAGTCCACCCTTTTAAAAATTAAGGTTATAATTATAACCATTATTTTGAGTAGACTGATCTTTCAAAGTTTGACTGCAATTTGTTCCTAGTGTTACTCAATATTTCTTAACTGAAAACAGATTAATGTGAAAGAGGATGACATTCGCTAAAAGATGTCCACGAAATAATAAAATCACTAAAAATGATTGCACAGTTTTAGATTGATTCTCAGTAAAACTCGTTTCTAGTTATAAGTCACTTGATTTCTGCTATAGTTTGTTTCTACAAATCGGTTTTTGGTTAATACTTTTTTATTGTCATTGGAGTGTAGTGATGTACTTTGGCCCATGCGCCTTAGGTTGTTCATCCCTGGTACACAATACGGACAAGTTGATAAATCTTTACTTTTATACACCACTTATACTGGGTACCTAAGGGGATAAATGCACAATATTTAATTCGCAAAAAGAAGTCCATGGCCCAGGTATCTTATTTATGAAGATACGCTGGGGGCATGACAAGTGGGTACTGGCATTCATTTATTTTACCCCAAAAAATCGGATAATTTGTACAGCGCCATTCGTAGGTGGATTTAACGACTCCATTTGGGCCGAAGAGGAAGTGTCCATGGATCACCATCAACGGGGAAGACCTAGCAGATTCTCAGTTCATCGTGGAGTATCTTACCCAGCGCTTCAACGTGGCTATTGACGCCCACTTAAACCCACGCCAGACTGCCATTGCCGAGTCACTCAGGATCCTCGCTGACGAACACCTCTTCTGGTGGGTATTTGGACAGTGTTGAGAACGTGCAGATGCATTGCTTCATAGTTGAATATATCATGGTAGATGTTAATTGATGGTGTTAATGTATAATTAAAATAGTTTATAACTGTTGATTGATCATTGATTATTATGTTCCCTCCCTCGGTGCTCAGTCTCAGACCTGGCATCCTGGTAGATAGTGGATAAGGTAGGTTGAAATGTTTATAATTGAATTGACTGGTAACTTATACATAAGCAGCAATATATTCAGATGTAGTTGTGGAAGAACTATCAGAAGGTGAAGGAGTTGAAGTAATGGTTGGGGAGTTAATGAGGCTGACAGTGGTAGTGAGGGGTTGAGGTTTGTGAAGAGTGATGAGGGCAATAGTAAAAAAAATGGTGAAGAATAGTAGTGATGAATGAGTTGTGAGGGGCAACGGTTATCAAAGTGGTGAAGAATAGTAGTTATCAGCGAGTGGCGGTAGTTATCAAGGTGTCACTTGTAGGTGTGTGTTGACGTGGAGGTACTGGCATGACGGCTGCGTTACTTTCTTCGAGTCGCAGACCTTTGGTGCCTGGACCACGTTCCTCTTCAGAGTCTTCATGTTCAGGGCCGTGAGGAAGAAGGCTCGCGCACACGGCATAGGACTCCACACTCCCGAGGAAGTCTACCACATCACCAAGAGGGCTTGTGGCACTGTAGCCGGGGTCCTGGGTGAGTTGAATTCTACATGCAGAAAGACACTAAGTACACTGAACAAGACTTTGTATGGAGAATTCTTCGCTCTAGCTAGGGCTTTCGGCGCTGTTTGACCCTTGTAGGTTTAGCGCTTCTATTTGATTGTAATATTAATAGATAGGGCTTTATAAAGTTTATAACTTGCTTAAGCTCTACATAGAGTAATAAACGGCCCCATTAACGACTTTTTTCTACATACCTGTTGATGTTATGCCTTTCAAACCACTAAGCTGAAAATCATTACTCGCATCATTTTTTTTTTAACAAATACGGAGTTGTCTTACCAGTGACAGCAAACAAAGAATCACCCTAATATGAACAGTGTTTATGAAAGTTTCCTTGCAAAGACAAAATTTTTTACGCAAGACAAACATTAGAAGGTATGCATAAGACTGAACTGTGATTTTTTCATCCCGTCAAGAACCATAATCATAACATTAACAGGGAATCTGTTGCTATTACTTTAGCACAAAAATGAACGTCTAGGTACAAAATCTTAGGAGTCGACTATGATTACTGCTCAGCCCAGTGTCTACAGCTTATTAGACCCGTGGAACTTTAATAGAACTTTACCCTAAAGTCATTTTTTCCCCTTGCACCTAAATTGGTTCCTGTATCTGGCCTACTTCAAGCACCTTAAATATACTATGTGTGTATTAAGTCAGATTGTTTTTGTATACTGTACTCCCTGTACTTTTGCTAGTCTGCTGAAGATGGAATCAGTTATTCGCCAATATATACAGAACTGTTCTCTTTTTTCTATGTGGGTTCATTAGTTCGTTTTCACATACATGTGTGTGTCTATTATATATATATATATATATATATATATATATATATATATATATATATATATATATATATATATATATATATATATATAATTTTAGTTTTCAGAGTGTAAGACATAGTACCTCCTTTATATTTTTTCAGGAATCTGCTACAATATGTCTAGTCCTTTTGATATTGCCTTTTTTTAGTTTACAGTTGTAGACCCTTGTTCTTATTGATATATATATATATATATATATATATATATATATATATATATATATATATATATATATATTTATATATATATATATATATATATATTTATATATATATATATATATATATATATATATATATATATATATATATATTATATATATTTATTTATATATATATATATATATTGATATTATATATATATATATATATATATATATATATATATATATATATATATTATATATATATATATATACTGTATCTATCCATATCTGCACTGAGTTTATTGAATATCGAGATCATGTCATGCCTTTGTTATATAAAAGTACGAACACAGATTTTTAAGACAGAGTGAGTTATTATTTAAAGATTGTATCAATCATAAGGTGACGACAAGTTCCTGGGAGGTGAGCAGCCATGTACGGCAGACTGTGCAATGTTCGGTATACTGGCCCAGCTGATGTGGAACGCCCAGGGCTCTCGTTACCAGGCTCTGCTTACTGGTGAGTGTTTATATGTACACATCTATGTATGATTACCTGTTTGTGGTTGCAGAGGTCGAGTCTCAGCTCCTGGTCCTGCCTCTCCATCTGCCACGTGTTAAATTCACTCCTCACTGTATTTGTGTTTTGTTTTAATATGTTTGTTTAAGGTGACGCCACACTTTTCTGATCACTGAGGTAGATATCAGATCTATGAACGTTGGTCGATGTCAGAACTATGAACGATTCAACTTTATATCTCGTTCGTTTTATTTCAATCCTGTTCACTTGTGACTAATATTTAATGAACGCCACTCTAATAGCTTATACATTTGTAATGTACATGTTGATCATGCCCTGATCCACCATGAGGCCTGGTCACGGACCGGGCCGCGGGGGCGTTGACCCCTGGAGCCCTCACCAGGTATACCAGGTGGGCATACAGCTAAACTGGGTATTAATACGCAGTATTCACATTCTAGAAACTGATTCAGAACCACAGGACATGCATATGTCCATAATAGAAGCTTTTTCTCTCTCTCCGTGCCCAGTGGGTCCTAAAGATGAGCAACAAGTTATGCAGAGCTTGAAAACACATGGGTATTTGGCCTTCCTCATTCAGTAAGAATCGTTACTTAAAGAATGATTGAGGATCAAACACAAACCTCACACACAGCTGCGTCATTGCAGTAATACTGCGCTTCTGTGCTTCTGTGACCTGTGATGTGTAACTGATACAGTATTGCGGTCTTTAAGTGTATGACCATATATACAGTATGTGATATATGTATGTCGTGCCGAATAGGTAAAGCTTGCAATTTTGGCTTAAATAGCAACGCTCTTCTTGCCGAATAAGGCAAGCGGAAACTTGTGTAAGCAATAATTTCGCAAAAATCATTCTGAACCTAATGAAAAAAAATATATTTCATTGTGTTTGTTTATTATTAAATTATTGTAAACGTATCTAAAATATATTTACTTAGATTAGGCTAAATTAAATTGCTCTTGTAAGTTTTCTAAGGCCTAACTTCTGACGACAGTGTATAACAAAAGCCCTCGAGCTTTTTTTTCCACCACCTCCCTCCCGTTTAATCGTTGTGACTTGTTCTTGACAGAGGTGTACCCGAGCCTGGCCAGGTACTGCATGAGCATGAAGGAACGTGTCTACCCGGACTGGGACTCTAAGCTACAACCCACAACACATCGCTGACGTCTTACACCCAAACTATATATTTTTACTGATATAGTTCATGGTATGTTGAACTTGACAGTGTGTGAATAAAAGCAGTTTTCATCATTTAGAGTGTTTGAATTCTCCATTTCCATCTGTCAGCTGTTGTTCTGGTGAGATCATGGATGGTGTTGATACAGAGTACCACGCCCCTCGCTGGTAACTCCCCTGGAGGGTTTTGCATTTCACACTCTTGCCCCTTAGGCTTCGTGCAGCCATGTGATGGGCCAAGTTCAGTCTAGAGCTCAGTCCACCAGACCTTGCATCTTTGATTATTGTTTGTATGTTTTGCCATTCATGTCTAGTATCTGCACCGGTGCCATGTTCCTTATACATCATTCGTTACGATCGGGATGACCATGGGCAGTGTGCTCAAGCGACGTAACCACTGTCGGGCTTTGTATTTCGCGCCTTTGCCATTAGGCCTTGTGCTGCCATCTGATGGGCCTAATTCAATTTATAGCTTAGTCCGCCAGACAGGTCTAGCAGAGGCAGGACGTGTCCCCCCCCCCAACTCTCTCGCAGGCCCATGGCCTGGTGTGAGATTTGCACCACCTTGTACCTATGTTCCATATACACAAATAAACCTAAGGCCTACCTCCTAGCTTATTATGTCAGTAACGCTAATAAGAACCAATACCAGAAACGTTAATTATTACAGGTGGAGTGCTCTTGATCCTAGAATAGAGTAATTCTCTCTCTCTTCCTGGAGGAAATCTGATTACTTCCCATTTCCTCAAGTATAGTACAACCCGTGCGGGTTTAGCGACCTCGTGAATACAAAGCAATACTTCCCCATAGCCATGTTATCTTTGACATGACTGACACAAAAAAATATATTTTTATTATATTCAGATAAAAACGCTGAGCCTGGGAAATGGGAGGCAATCAGGGTCGACCCTAGGAAGAAAAAGATTGCTGTACTTCTTTGGATTCCACGTTGTATCACCCTTATGGGTTTAGCGCTTAGTTTAGATTAAAATAATATAATTCTTTGAATCAAGTGCCCTTCACCTGCATCAGGGCACTCGTCGTCTCCTTTCCCATGAAAGAGTAACAAACAACCCACTGTTGTAGGTCGCATACTGGGGAAAAAAAGCTTGTTCCTTACTAGGTACCTTGAGGCCTGTGAAGGGCTCTTGATCCAAGGAGTAGGAGGCTGCCCTCTCCTTCCTCAGATCAAACCTGATTGCCTCTTATTCTCTGGGCGTTGGATAACCCCTGGGATTTGACGCTTCTTAGTGACTACAAAAATATGGGAAATTTGTACTACCCTCCAGACTTTGTATTTACGTGTTGGATAAAAGATATCCTTACTACGTGGTGTATCTAATGATGATAAAATGACATAAGGAAAAATACTTCGTTGGAGATGAGGGTGACCTGGAATGTCCTAGAATTATAATTTGATGATAGCGGTGTGCCAGAGTATCGGGGGAATGGATGGCATTCAGACTCGATTCAAGGAATTGGACCCTAAGTCCAGTTTCGTAGATCAAAGAGCCCCTCGCCAACTGCTGGAGTCACGTTGGCCATATTATAGACAGGAAGGACAATATACCTGCTGGAAGATCTCTCATGTGTGTTACTGTCTTGGATGTGGAGGACACGCCTTTCACACTCGGAAATGAAGTATTGTGGAAACTACGTTTTTGAAAGATGTCAGAATTTTTCATATTCTTCAAGTGTGGGATGGAGATCCTATAGGGCCATAGGCCCTCAAGGAGAAACCAACGGTGACACCTCGCTTGGTTCTGGTATAGTGATGTGAACTGAAGTGAATGAAGTGGTTGTTATTGGTGGGCATTCTGTGAATTTAAAGTGTCAAGTGTTACCACCTGTGTGTAGCGTATCAAAGAAAGGTAAAAGATTGTTCCTCTCCTCTAACATGAATTATATGGTGGGCCCGATGTTGTTGATGGTGCTGAGGATATTTTGTATATTAAGTCTCTGGAGGAAGATGGCCAGTATAACAAGAAAGATATGGATGGTCTTCTATATGGAGCACCTCGTCCCATCTATGATAGACTCAAAATTACTTTCAATCAGAAACTAACTTTTCACCACCCATGACGTTAAATGTTAGTAAGTTTATTTAGGTACAGGTACACATAAATACAATTATACGTAGTAACGTGTAAATTACCGAGAATAACACTTATTTCCATCGCTCCACTAACTCTTACCCTCGCAACTTAAACCACTCTCCAGTGTATATGATCCTTATGCATCTATAATAATATCTTTATTTACTACAAGTACATGTACATGGTTTACAGGCCTAGCTGACGTCAATGACATAATAGTATGAGAAAGTCCCTTGTTATGCTGAGCATTTCGGGCACATTAGGTCAGTGTCCCAGGATGCGACCCACACCAGTCGACTAACACCCAGGTATCCATTTTACTGATGGGGAACATAGACAACAGGTGGAAAGAAACAGTTTCTGCTCTGGCTGGGAATCGAACCCAGGCCCTCGCCGTGTGAAGCAAGAGCGTTAGCCACGAGACCATCCATGTTATCGGTTTTTCGACTATAATAATTCACCAGCACCTTGAAAGGATATTTTCTAGAGAACATTCATGGATCACCCGCGTGTGATCCAATGCTCTCACCACTTTGACTACCCGGCAGGTTAACTGGATCATAAGTCCTAAATTAAAACAAAACAAAAAGTCTTAAAAGAAGATTTACTGCAAGTTAAGTTTATTATAGGAAGGTATTTTTGGAAGTAGCCATTTAAATAATTTCCGGTAAATAAGAGAATGTAAGCAAATAATTATAAATAAAAGATTTAAAATGATCCACATGGCATCATTAGTTGTCATGACGACGCCCGCAGCCTAGGCTTCCATATGAAGATTTACAACACTTGTCATGTAAGTGCAACCCACGACTACCCTCTCTCATATGTAATTTACATGCAATATTTATTAACGGGTAAGTGGACTGGTACAAACTCGGTAGTTGATAGTAATCCACAGCGAAGGAATTGAAGAATAAGGTAGGGGAAAAATAGGAGAAGTGACAACTGAGTTGTGGTAAACAGGAGGAGAGAGAAGCCCCTTGCGGGTCAGTCAGTGTATTGTGGTGAGTGTGGTAGGTCTTGCTCTCTCCTCACACTCATACTGTCACATACTCTTCTCGCCGGGCTCACCAACCCCCTTATACAGTTTATCGAGCTCTAAATAAATGCAATTAATGTTTGAACATCAACTTTGAGCAGTGTTTGAAGTGTAGTAGTGGCAGGAGAGACGAGCACTGGACGATACTCTCTTTGACAGCTGATAGTTGGTGATATTTTTAACTTTTTTTACATGCTTAGGAGTGGTGTAGTCAAGCCAACGTACCTCCCGTGTCCCAGGACATTATTTACAAATGCCGTGTGTCCTGCTAGATAGAGTTTTCTGTTAAAAAATTGGTGAACGGCAGCAAACTGGCTACACGTTTTCTACCGCTTCCTCGGCAGCTCGGGAAAAAATAACGTTGAGAAGCCAAGGATTACCGGCTGCCTCACCTGCAATAACAAGTCTAGTTGTACGAGGTGTATAGAACGACCCGTGTGCGTGACACAGTGAATAATGGAGGTTTTGGGGTCCTGCAGCGTCCACTGGTTGACTCTGGCTGTCTTCCTGTATGGAGCACACTATAGTGAGTATAAAATAGAGTATTACCACGGTGGCCGTGGAAGCTGCTGGTGCTATTGTCACGGCAGGAAGTAATATTGTCCAATCTAACCTAATCTACTCGCCACTCTCTACCCACAGTATAACACCCACCACCACCCATAAATCTGACCCACCATCATCCTCCACCTACAGTGACTCAACACCACTCTCCACCCAATGAGTCACCACCCTCCACCCACCGACTCTCCACCCACTAAAACTCCCACACTCAACCACAACCCTGCCAGTAGCGCCAACAACTAGACACCCAATCCCCTCAAGGAAGGTTCCTTGATGTTGGTGAGGGGCTCTTGATTTAGGGAATTGGATCTGTGCTCCAGTTCCCCGAATTAAGCCTGAATGCCTTCCACATCCCCCCCCCCAGGCGCTGTATAATCCGGGTTTAGCGCTTCCCCCTTGATTATAATAATAATAGACACCCAACTAAGGAAACAGTCACATTTTTTTCAATACCCTCCACAGGTGTGTTACAAACTCAAAAATAGAATCAACTGAAGTAATATATGCAACGTGCAACCACTCTTGGGTATACTGCCATTTTCACTTTATCACCATCATAGTGGCAGTTGGTGATTGCACTACGATATCTCTCAGGCTGACAGCATGTAGTGTGAAGCAAGATGAGTTTGTTCCCACATGACACACCACTAGAGTTCCCAGGTTAAGCTAGCATTTGAAGACAGAAACCTTTTAACTCGTCTTAAGGAATCACTGGTGCGGTGGTTTGAGACGTCATGCATCTAATGTCTGCGTGGCTTGGGTGCTGGAGGCATGGACCACACGTCTGCTGCAAGAGGGGGGCCAGGAGTTATGACTCGATCCCTGCAACCACAATTGGGCGAGTACACACACACTCACAATCACTCACACCAGTCACTCAGTCGAATAGTTTGGGAAGCCATGTAGTGGAGGCAGGATCCATACATAGGTTTAAGCAGAGGTATGATAAAGCTCATGGTTCAATGAGAGTAACCCAGTAGCGACCAGTGAAGCGGCGGGGCCAGGAGCTATGACTCGACCCATGCAACCATAATTAGGTGAGAAGTGCTGTGAATCGACCCCTACAACCCCATGTGAGTACACGCACCAGGAGCCGTGACTCAACCCTTGCAACAAAATAGAGGTTAGTACATACACATACGATATATATATATATTATATATATATATATATATATATATATATATATATATATAATATATATATATATATATATATATATATATATATATATATATATATATATAACCCTATCCTTCCCCTCTTTGGGATGAACATGATTTGTCACTTTTCCCAAGCGCGGTGTGACCTCCCTAAGGAAACTTGAAGTTACTTCTTGTGAGTAGTTTTAAGGAGATACCATTACATTATTAAGCATTGTGATTTATCTCAGCGTAGATCGTTCTGAAGTAGCCGCATGCGTCAGAAAACTAACGACGTATCTGGAGGACGTGTTGTGTGCTGACCTTGATGAGGTGGCTTTGAGCCTGCTGGGTGCTGAGGTGCTGAGAGGATGATGACCTCGTTCACGCCCGTCCATATATGTACCTGTCTTGCCCTTCTTGCTGTTCCTACCCTCTCTATCCCTGTCCTACCTCCCCTCAACCTGAACACAGTCTCTCTCTCTCTCTCTCTCTCTCTCTCTCTCTCTCTCTCTCTCTCTCTCTCTCTCTCTCTCTCTCTCTCTCTCTCTCTCTCTCTATCTATCTATCTATCTATCTATCTATCTCTCCATCTTATCTATATTCCCTAGTCTTCTTGCTCATGTGCTCTTAAGATGCAAAATAAAACGTAGAAGTTTTTGATTCCTTGTGTGAAAAATTCGTTGCCCCTGCAAGAAAATAAGGGTTAGGATTGTGTACATACTTCCTAGAGTCAAGAAAATTAGGTATATAGTGTGTAAACTCCTCTCGGAGTGCAGAAAAAGGAGATCTAGAACAAACCTATTTTTCCTTCTGAAATCTCTTCTAAATCTCTGAGGCTAAATAAATTTGAAGTGCAAAGCGTCAAGACTGCACGAAATAGTAGCATGATATTGAATCAGAAGATGTAATACAGCAGTGATGTAATACAGACGTGATACAGACGTGATACAGCGCTTGATTTTTGCCAGCAGTCAAAGAGCCCTGAAAAATATTGCCCTTTTCTTTTTAACGTCACAACATTACATCCTTCAAGAAAAAGTTTGACGAGCAATTCTATTGGCTTCTACTGAACACAATGCTGAAGTCTGCCAATAGACCACGCATCTTCTATCCAGGTGTCTTTTGCAGTGGTTACTGGAACTATAGTGGTTGGAAGCGCTAGGGCAGCTGGTTGACAGAAACGAGTAGTGACGAATGTAAAGAGCGATCACCAACAGCCTGACTAGTCAGAAATTGGGCCGCGATGAACGGAAGAAAGTCTTTCCACCAAGCCTTGTAGTAATTGGCCCATACTGGTTTACCGCTTCATGGAATAAAATAATGTGAGTGAGTGGGCGCTGTAGTTCAGTCTGATCGTTGGTGTAGCGAGAAGATATCTCTGGAGCCCTGTGGACAGATAGTGATAGCAGAAGGTGCAGCAGCAGCACTTGTAAATCTAAACTACACCTCCGCCTCCTCACATGATAAATATTCAGCCACGTTTTTCAATACATCACCGTAACTCTCCGTCCACTTTTTCCTGCCGGCTTTGTGTCTGAGCGGAGTTGGGGAAGGAAAGAGGAGGGGGCAGCTAGAGACAGGCTATATCCTTTTCTGTCTATAAATAATTAACGATAGGTAGACAGTAGCTTAGTCCTCAGCAGGTAATCTTGATATAAAGAATAGTCACAATACTGTGGCCGAAATAGTTCACGAATAACCCTCACTTTTGACGACATTTCGGTCCTTGCTGGACCATTGTCAAGTCAAGACATTCATCCAAGACGGACGAAACATCGCTTTGAGGCTCTTCTAGGTGCTGGTAAAGAAAATGTAGAGTTTTAATTCTGACAACGCTGATTGTAAAGACTTGCTCTGCAGGGGGCTTCTGTTTGATTTTTTTTAGATACTATCTAATGTACTGTGCCCCCTTCCTTCATCTTCCTCTCTCCTTCCCCCCCTCTCACTTTGTGGATCTTCCTCTCTCCCTATCTCATCTTGTCTCTGTTGAAGGGGTGGAAAAACGATGTATGAGCCAGGTAGCTTTAGGGTGGACTGGGAAAAGGTGTTGACCGCTCTCTACATGTCCTTCCGGTGAGAGCCTGCTGTCTTCCTGCATGGTGTGCTGGGTGTGGCTACCTTCTGTGTTGCTGCTGTCTCGTGTGCTGAGTGTTGTTTGCTGTTGCCTTGTGTGTTGATGCTTCTTATGTTGCTTTGTGCTGCTGCCTCGTATGTTGTTTGCTACTGCCTCTTGTGTTGCTGTGTCCTGCTGCCTCGTGTGTTGCCGTGTCCTGCTGCCTCGTGTGTTGCTGTGTCCTGCTGCCTCGTGTGTTGCTGTGTCTTGCTGCCTCATGTGTTGCGGTGTCCTGCTGCCTCGTGTGTTGCTGTGTCAGGCTTCCTCGTGTGTTGCTGTGTCCTGCTGTCTCTTGTGTTGCTGTGTCCTGCTGCCTCGTGTGTTGCTGTGTCCTGCTGCCTCGTGTGTTGCTGTGTCCTGCTGGCTCGTGTGTTGCTGTGTCCTGCTGCCTCGTGTGTTGCTGTGTCTTGCTGCCTCGTGTGTTGCTGTGTCCTGCTGCCTCGTGTGTTGCTTTGTCCTGCTGCCTCGTGTGTTGCGGTGTCCTGCTGCCTCGTGTGTTGCTGTGTCCTGCTGCCTCGTGTGTTGCTGTGTCCTGCTGCCTCGTGTGTTGCTGTGTCCTGCTGCCTCGTGTGTTGCTGTGTCCTGCTGTCTCTTGTGTTGCGGTGTCCTGCTGCCTCGTGTGTTGCGGTGTCCTGCTGCCTCGTGTGTTGCGGTCTCCTGCTGCCTCGTGTGTTGCTGTGTCCTGCTGCCTCGTGTGTTGATGTGTCCTGCTGCCTCGTGTGTTGCTGTGTCCTGCTGCCTCGTGTGTTGCGGTGTCCTGCTGCCTCGTGTGTTGCGGTGTCCTGCTGCCTCGTGTGTTGCGGTGTCCTGCTGCCTCGTGTGTTGCGGTGTCCTGCTGCCTCGTGTGTTGCTGTGTCCTGCTGCCTCGTGTGTTGCTGTGTCCTGCTGCCTCGTGTGTTGCTGTGTCTTGCTTCCTCTTGTGTTGCGGTGTCCTGCTGCCTCGTGTTGCTGTATCCTGCTGCCTCGTGTGTTGCTTTGTCCTGCTGCCTCGTGTGTTGCTGTGTCCTGCTGCCTCGTGTTGCTTTGTCCTGCTGCCTCGTGTGTTGCTGTGTCCTGCTGCCTGGTGTGTTGCTGTGCCCTGCTGCCTCGTGTGTTGCTTTGTCCTGCTGCCTCGTGTGTTGCTGTGTCCTGCTGCCTCGTGTGTTGCTGTGTCCTGCTGCCTCGTGTGTTGTTGTGTTCTGCTGCCTCGTGTGTTGTTTTGTCCTGCTGCCTCGTGTGTTTTGTCCTGCTGCCTCATGTGTTGCTGTGTCCTGCTGCCTCGTGTGTTGCTGTGTCCTGCTGCCTCGTGTGTTGCTGTGTCCAGCTGCCTCGTGTGTTGTTGTGTTCTGCTGCCTCGTGTGTTGTTTTGTCCTGCTGCCTCGTGTGTTGTTTTGTCCTGCTGCCTCGTGTGTTGCTGTGTCCTGCTGCCTCGTGTGTTGCTGTGTCCTGCTGCCTCATGTGTTGATGTCTCATGTGTTGCAGTTTGTTCCTGTCTCGTATGTTGCTTTGTCCTGCTGGCTCGTGTGTTGCTGCTTCGCTTGCTGCCTTCCGATAACCTCACCTGGGTTGCGTCCGTGCGTGCCTGCATGCAGACGTACATGGATATTGGAGTAATGTGCATTACGCAGGCACATTTTTGCCTTCAGTACATAGTATTCCTCATTTTCAGCATTTAAATGTTAAGTTAACGTTACCGCCGGAACATTGCGCATATGTTAGGCTCTG